TAAGAATACATAACTTTGGCATTTTATATACAATATAGTTCATTCCACAAATCGTTCGGTAGCTCAGATCTGGGTACATCCAATCATACGAATTGCGCCCAGAACCCACGAACAGAACGGGAGGAAAGTATTGTTCGGTAGTTTGATTGTGAACCCCTGATGGCGGCCATGTTTTTAGGTCGGTCAATGGGCAGCGGGATCTCGACTCCGTACTTATGGAGTGGAGGTCGGAGTCACACGAATCCCCGCTATCAGTCTGGTTGTCCCGGCCGTTCGGGATACGAACTGAGAATGCCCGAAAGGGGTACTTAACCTGCGGTTAACAGCAAGATGAACGTTCTAATCGATGCCACACGCCGGAACGTAGGTGGTCCCCCATTCGTGAGTCTTTCGGTAGTTTCCCTTCGGGGAATTGTATATGAATGAGGGGTCCCCTGGGACCGTCAATTAGTTTGTGGTTAACCGCAGACCGCAACACCTTGTGCGGTTAATGAGCGGCACACTCCGCTCGCAGGGTGGTCGGCCATTCGGTACTTCGAGGGGTGACGAGGTTAAGTGGCGGCACACGCCAAAGGTTGGGTGGTCCATCGTTCATACTGACGAATGAGTCTTTATAATAGTTTGTGTAATCCGTTCGTATGGTCTGAATGCCGGTAGAATAGGGTTTTTAATGAAATGAGACAGGTTGTAACAATATAACGAGTTTTTGTAACAGTAGTCTTAATACAAGTAACACAGCTTGGAATATCCTCACCTTTACCTTCCTTAAAAATAATAAAAATACTGAAACATATAACTAAACACACATCTGTTACAAGAGCTCTACAGACTGCTACAATATTGCTCCTTTCTGTTTCCACAAGGAACCTTGTTTCTGTATTTTAACTTTGTAGCCTAATCCCCAAATCGATATACCGACTCATTCGTGTATATGAACAAAGGACCACCCGGCCCCTGGCGTGTGCCGCCACTTAACCCTTGTCACCTTTCAAATACCTGAACAGCCGACCACCCTACGAGTTGAGCATGCCTCTAATAACCGCCAAGGAAGCTGCGGTCTGCGGTTAATCACAGCCTAATTGAAGGTCCCAGGGCATTCACGTTCGTGTTCTATTTCCCAAACTAAAACTACCGCAAGGCTCACGAACGAGGACTACCTACATCCTGGCGTGTGACCTCAATTAGAATGTTGGTTCTGCGGTTAACCGCAGGTTAAGTTCCCCCTTCCCAGCGGTCTCCGTTCGTGTCCCGAACCATTATGAGAGCAGGGATTCGTGTAAATACCTGGCCGCCACTCACTCCATGAGTTAGGGTCGAGGTCCCGCTTCCCATTGACCAACCTGAAAACATGGCCGGTGTAGCGGAGAGCAGATATTTCACAGGTTATCTCCACTTAAGATCCCAGTGAGGCTCAGGAACAAGTATTATAAATCCATAAGGCAAGGCTTTTAGCAAGCAAAACAATCCAACAATATCTCAATCCCAATGACTGGACGACACACAGCATAAGGAGCAGAACTGACTTAATTTACACAACCTCCTTATAAAGCATTCTCCCATGCAAGGGAGGGATTCACCATAATTAAGACAGTAACCAATAATGTCACAGTTACCTCCCACACATCTCCTCCCCTCAGTGTGACACATAATCCCATTAAACATGTTGTAGTTTTCCCCGAGTTCTGGATGTTCCCCAAAACAGTTATGTACAATGGGCTAATTGGTACCCCCTGGTAGCCCTGATTTGGGTGACCAACATATCCAAAATTCACCCAGATCAGACCAGGGGTTCGGGAGTTAGGTGGAAGGGACAATTTGACCGACTGCACACGAGGTGGTAGCCGAAAAGGGTTCCATGGGTTTTGGCCCTGCGGTCGGTCTCCGTTCAAGAGGTATAATACACATAAATACATGCCATCCTCTATTAATCTTGTATTCGCATGAATCCCATTGTTCGGTACTTTTAACTCACCGAATGGGGGGCTGATTAGCCTCTCCGTTCGGGAGTTACGGAGCTCTGGAGGTCTCAGCGGTGTTCGGGTAATTGAGTGTCCGATTTGAGTTCCAGACACTCGACGCCCAAACACTGCTGAGGTTTTCGTGCATAAGATGGCGAACGGCGGCCACCCAAATACATGCACAAAGTACCAATTAACATGCGGTTAGAGAAGTGTGAAGCCTAACAAGGTGCACACTTCTCTCTGGGGTGGTCTACTGGTTCGGTAGTTTCATTCGTATTGGATACGGATGAAACTACCGAACAATCATACAAATACTACATACACTTTTAACTATACAGGAAAATAAACACGCAAATTGCAGTTTTAACACAGTCTTTTAGGACAGCTGTAATACCATCCGCTACAGCCGCCATCTCGTGTTCGGGACAAAAGACACGAACTGAGTTTATATTGATGAGATTAGCCATACCGTTCATGAATTCTGAGTGCTATTCGACTATCTGCTGCCCTCAGATTTGGGCTACATAATGAACGGTAGAATGTACCAATTATCTATTAAAGTGTTAAAGTTATGTCTTTTTATACTGTTTTATATGTTGCAAGAAAATGTGGGATTTTGGGCGCTTGGAGATAATTACATTGTCATAACCGTTGGATTCATTATCTCCAAGCTGGGCGGTAACAATTTCAAAAGATACATTGTGTTCCTATTGGTTAACTGCTTGTATTGTCCCTGTATCCCATCAGGTCCAGAAGGGGATGTCCCTGGACCTGGGGTTTTTCATAAATAGCGATGCCTGTGTGCCATTAAAGCCAATTCTTTCTTGACCCTCAAATCGCAGCCTCGACTCGTTTTGTGGGGAAAAGGGCATACTAGCTGTACCATAGCTAGTGGGATTATTCTGCAGTTACAGGATTCTCATGGTATATTGACTGGAGCGGCTCTTCTGTCTCTCTCTACACCTGGGAACCAGACTATCCAAGCTGTCCAGCTTCCAGCAAGCCTGGAGGTAACCGTAACGACATCATTCTTGTGGTCCTCATCCTACTCTTCGACCATGCAACGGCACCTCATCTTCCCGCTTGTGAGGGCTGCAAGGATTGTTGTCCTTCTGATCCTCACTTACTTTCACAGAGGTCCCTCTGAGGCACTCTGGTTATGACAAGTAGGTAGGTGGTCAGGCTTTATTATGGCGGTCAAAACACCTACTTGATGATCTCCAAAGGCTTTTAACCATGATATCCCAATATCCCCTCGTATTTTTCCTCAAGTCACGTTCAATCTGACTGGGTTAGCTTCAAACAGATCTTGCAAGGATTCTCAGGATCTGGAGTAGCTTGCCAGGAATCTGCCACTAGTTTAACCGTAGAGTGATGAATCCAAGGAGTCACCACCTTTACAGCTGTTGGGGTAGATAAAAGAACAACATAAAGATACTTCTACTTTGGACCCAATGGGAAAGTATTCCATTCTTTTACTGGATGGTATGAGTGAACAGGTGGATATATGTTCACAGGTAACCTATCTTGCACCCATTTCTGTACCTCCTCCATAGTGTTACCCAATTCCACAACCTGCTGTCAAGTAATTCCATCACCTAACTGATATAAGTCCCCCCTTAGATTACTGAGTATGGGGACTTATATCAGTTAGGTGATGGAATTAGTAGGAGTACTACATATTCGCAACAGAGCTATTGGCAAAAGGACATTCCACTTGAGCTGAGTTTCTTGACACATTTTAGCCAATTGAGTCTTTATCGTTCTGTTCATCCTTTCTACCTTTCCAGAACTCTGAGGCCTATAAGCAGTATGGAGCTTCCACTTGATGCCAAGTACATGAGTCACTTGTTGTAAACATTGATGGACAAAAGCTGGGCCATTATCACATCCTATAGAACACGGAAGTCCATATCTGGGTATAACTTTCCGTAACAGAAACCGTACAACTTCTCCTGCTTTTTCCGTACAAGTAAGCCTCTACCCAACCAGAGTAGGTACACACCGCTTACCAGCAGGTAACGATACCCTCTGGATTTAGGCATCACCGTGTAATCTATTTGTAAATCTGACATGGGAAGTCCTCCCATATACTGAACTCCAGGTGGTTTGACAGGGCCTTGTCTTGCATCGTTGCGCGCGCACTGAACACATCTTCGGACAATAGCTTGGGAAAGGTTGGATAGTCGTGGAATGTAGAAATGTTTGCTAAGAGATTCTTCCATACTATCTCTTCCTGAATGGGTACCACTATGGAAGTTCTGAACAATCTCTATGGCCAGAGATGCCGGAATCACTATTCTTCCATCTTCTGGCTGATACCAATTATTCTCCAAGTATTTTCCAGATTCAGTTTCCAACCACTTCTTCTTTTGGGTTGTATACACTGGAGTCCATTGAGACAAGGGTGCAGGTACAAGAGCAGTAACATGGCTCACGTGATCTTCTTGTCTTGATTCAGCAGCACGTTTGGCAGCATTGTCTGCCATGCGATTTCCTCTCACCACTTCACTATCACCTTTCAGATGTGCTCTGCAATGTATGATATTGACTTCCTTTGGTTCCCATACTGCCTCCAATAACTGAAGTATCTCTGGTGCATACCTGATTTTTTTTTCTTCTAATTCAAGAGTCCTCTTTCTTTATACAATGCTCCATGGGCATGAGTGGTTAAGAAGGCGTATCTTGAATCCGTATAGATGTTCACTCTCAACCGCTCAGCTAGTTGCAATTAATTCTGCCTTCTGTGCTGATGTCCCTTTCGACAATGGTCGTGCTTCTATCACCTTGTCTATGGTGGTTACTGCATACCCTGCATACTGAATACCTTCTTTTACAAAGCTACTACCATCCGTATAGTACTGTATGTCTGGGTTCTGGATGGGAAAATCATAGCGATATGGCCTGCTAGAAAATACTTCATCCATTATTTCCAGACAATCATGTTGGCTCTCAGCTGTTTGTGGCAGAAGGGTAGCTGGATTGAGATTATTGACAGTCTCAAGATGTACTCTTGGATTCTCGCATAACATAGCCTGATATTTGATCATTCTGCTATTGCTGAACCAGTGATTACCTTTCTAATCCAGTAGGGTCTGTACTGCATGAGGTACTTGCACATAGAGTTCCTGACCCAATTTAAGTTTGTCAGCTTCCGCTACCAACAAAGCTGCAGCAGCCACTGCTCATAGACAACGGGGAAGACCACTGCCACCGCATCCAGTTGTTTGGACAAGTAAGCTACAGGTCTTTGCCATGATCCTAAAAACTGAGTTAATACTCCCACAGCCATTCTTCTTTGCTCATGCACATATAGGTAGAAAGGACGCAAGTGATCTGGTAGGCCTAGGGCTGGGGCACTCATAAGTGCTTTCTTGATATCTTCAAATGCCTTCTGTTGTTCTGTGGTCCATAGGAAGGGATCATGTTCCATGCCTTTTATAGCTTCATACAAGGGTTTCGCCAATATTGCATAATTAGGAATCCATATCCTACAGAATCCTGCTGCTCCCAAGAATTCTCGCACTTGTCTTCTATTCATGGGTACAGGTATTCGACACACTGCTTTTTTTCTTTCAGGTCCCATTGTTCTTTGACCGTCAGAGATATGGAATCCTAAATACTTGACAGTTGGCTGACACAATTGCCCCTTCTTCCTTGATACCTTGTAACCAGCCCTCCAAAATGTATGGAGTAGATCAGGTGTTGCTTGTTGGCACATCTCTTTAGTAACTGCGGCTATCAAGAGATCATCCACGTACTGAAGCAATACACATTCCCCTGGGATGGATTTGAAGTCTTGTAAATCTTGACTCTGTGCAGATCCAAATAGGGTAGCTGAATTCTTGAGGCAACCTGCTCCAAGTCATCTGACGCTTTGATCCCGTAACAGCATCTTCCCATTGAAAAGCAAAGACTTTCAACACCAAGTCGAAGGCAGAAGAAAGCCTCTTTAAGATCTAGGACTGTAAAGTGAGTTGCCCCTCCCAGAATTAGGGCAAGCAGATGATAGGGGTTGGGTACCACTGGGTGTATATTAACTACTGAATCATTAACTGCTCTTAAATCTTGTACAGGACGATACTCATCTGATCCTGGTTTCAGAACAGGTAATAATGGAGTGTTCCAAGGGGAGGTACAGAATTTTAGGATGCCATACTTCACAAACATATCCAAGTAGATCTGTATCTTCTTCTTGGCCTTCTGAAGTATGTGATACTGGCGTAGGCTCACAGGGTAGGCCCAAGCTTTAGTTCAATATGTATCGGTGGGATTTTACGAGCAAGTCCTGGAGGATTATTCTCTGCCCATACTCCTAGAATGTCAAATAAAGATCCATCACTCTTAGGGTTTGCATTTGTTATTACAGAGTAGAAGCGCCATTCTTCTTCTTGTTGTTACATCAATCATAGGCTCCGCTCGGCCAAGGGGGATGGAGTTCCGGGCGGTATCAATAGTCTTCCATGATAGTGTCAGCAAGACCCACAAAATCTCTATCTTCCCTATCCCTAGGTCCCCTCTGCCATTTCCATTAATTCCTCAAAAACTTCCTCTTCCTCGTCCTCTAAAGCTACCACCATAACCACCTCGCCCCCTTCTCTCATCTTGTCTACCACCTACAATATATCCCCTCTGTGGGCAGTCCCTCTTCACAATTCTGTGGGCAGTCCCTCTTCCAATGTCCTTCCTCTTTACAATATGCACAATGATCTCTGCCTAGTGGTACCCTGCTCATCCTATTCTCAACTCCTCTATCCATCTCCCCTCCCTGTCTCGCTACTCCTGTGATAGCTACCGCTAACATGTCTGCTTTCTTCCTCATTTTACGTTCCTCCTCACGCTTTGTCTCAGTTTCCCAATTCATATATACTTTATTTGCAACCTCCATTAACTGTGATATGGACATCCCCGCAAATCACTCTAACTTTTGTAATTATCTCTTGATATCGTTCTGGGCCTGGCTGACAAATGCTGAATTTATCATACGAGAGGTCTCAGGGGCCTCTGGATTAAAAGGAGTGTATAATCTATAGGACTCCAGCAATCTCTCTTAAAAGGCACTAGGTGACGCATTGGCTTTCTGCAACACCTCAACCGTTCTTGAAATATTAATTGCCTTTTTCCCACCCGCCTTCATGACAGCAATAATTGCTTGCTGATAGGCCTTTAAGTGGGGCATGTCAGCACCATTCACGTTCCAATTTGGATCGATATTTGGAAAGTGAGCTGCGGCCCATGCGGCCAGATTAGCTTGATTTTGAGTACGGGCTGTTTCCTCAAGAGCCTCAATGGCCGCTTGATTAATCCGGGTACTTTCCTCGCAATTAAAGTTAATAATAGCTGCTGACAATCAGCCCAGGTGGGATTATGAGTCTGAATAATGGAGGTGACCAAGTCCGTCATGGCTTGAGGTTTATCTGTATGTGAGGAATTATGGGTCTTCCAGTTGAACAGATCGGTCGTGGTAAAGGGGACGTAAACAAATACAGGGCTTGCTTGCTGTAGTTGACCATTACCGTCAACATGTGGTGGGCTCGGTGTAAGCCGGAGAGGCATTTGTAAATGTCGGGATTAAAGGGTACCAGTCATTTGTCGAGTTAGTATGGGACTTCGATAGACTTGCCTAGTAACAGGTTCTGGGCTGGAAGTTATTAGGTGAGTGGAAGGGGGTGAATTAAGTGTACTGGTTGATAACTCTTTTAACAGAATATTCTGGGCAGGGCTGGGAGGAGCCTGACCAGTAACAAGAAGTGACGTCAATTCCGGATACAAGGAACTAGTGGAGGTAGATACAGGAAGAGTAGGGCTTAGGGTCGGCCTCTGGGTTAGGTGAGTGGATGGGCAGGGACAATGGAGCAGGGGGAGTGGCTACACTTACTGCACCTCCTCTAACTCTGGAGGAGGAGTAAGGGGGTGGCAAAGGGAGTTCGGACTCAGGGGGTGTGTCCAAGATGGGTGGGGTTGCGGCCCTCATGGACAGACGAGGCGACATTGCTCCTCGTGGCATAATTTTATTCACTTAGGCAACTCTTCTACGATCTGTTTCCAACAGTCAATAGAATTTCGGCCTACTAGGAACAGCCACGCTGCACTAAATTTAAGTCAAGACTACTACGTGGAGGCCATGCGGCCACCATGATAGGTCACTCCCTACTACACAGTGTAGTCAATCGCTTTGGGGATAACTTTGCATCATAATTGTTAAGACACTCACCGCCAGGTAGATGAAGCCGCCGTTTAGTGAATAATCCCCCTCTCCAGAAATGCAGTTTATATCCAGCCGACCGCCAAACTCCCGAACGAAGTTCACGAACACGGCAACTCCCGATCAGCAAAACAGTCGAACGCCTTCCACAGCTAAAAATAGCGCTGTCCCAGTAATAATTCCCCCACAAACGAGACCAAGCTCCGTCTTGAGGGTCAAATAAGGATCTGTTTAATGGGGGCTACCTGCCCGGTATTTATGCAGGTCTCCACAAGGTGGACACTCCCCGAGGGGACCTTGTGGAAGACTGTAAAATATATTGGACAGTAGCCAATCGCAGTGGCTTCAATATAAGCCCTTCCCATTTTACCCATAAATCTGTCTTCTCTACCCCGGAAATAATTAGGAAGAAACCTGATTATCTCCCAGTGTAGAGACAATCGCCATTTTGAAATACAGTAACAAAAATACATTAAAATACATAACTGGGAAAATACTGAATGGATATAGTTCGTATAACGTATCCCCAGAGAGCCTGGATCTGAGTGCATATTTTCACCGAATAGCGCTCAGATCCGATGTATCTAGTCGAATCGCCATGGAGTCAAAGTCTTTCACCAGTCCTTCGGTGTACGAATGACTCCATGGGACGGCTATCTGGGTAAAAGTCCATACGAATGCATAAAACTCCCGAACAGACCGGCGCTCGCATGCCTCGTCGAAATAGAAGGTGGGGTCAGCTTCCAGCGGTGTTCGGTAGATTAAAGTGTCCGGTTTTAGTTCCATACAATTTGTACCGAACACCGCTATGCTTTCTCGTGTCCCAAAATGGCCGCCGCCTCGTGGTCGACATGCGAACGACGACCACCCGTACGAATGGAATGGAGAGGTGTCTGCGGTTAACCACAACGTTCTAATTGGGGCCGAGAGGTTAACCAGCAGCACACTCCTCTCCTGGGTGGTCGTTCGTTCGGTAGTTTCAATCGGTAGTTTGTAATTACACGAACAGGGGTATACGAATAGGAAATCCAGCGAAACAAAGGGAAACAGACGAACCAGCAATACAGATGAATCTGTCACAATAATCGCAAGGGAGGGGTCAATCAACCAATCAGGTACGGATCCTGCCTGTAGTGGGTCCACAGTTTACCTTTTAATTCCTAGACCTGGGTTCACACTCATTGACGGGACACCCCGGTACTCACTGCGTAGAAGCCAAAGATCTCCTGGACAACAGGCCAGTGGCGCCGAGATGAAAGGAGGTCCACGCTGAAGTCCAGGGATGCTGCCGTGGAAGATTTGGTAAAAGGTTACCATCTCAAATCTCTATGCCTGCTTCCGTGCGATGAAGTTCCCGGCCAAATAGCACCAGAAGTGTTGCAGGAATAAGCTGCAGAAGCCACACATAGAGAGATGGAAGCAGGTTCATTCAGGAAGAAAAAGGTCTTTATTGTTACCGATCGGGTCTCAGATGAACTCCTGTTCTAAAAATGTCTGAGCCCAGAGCACAGATTGCAAATGCATTTTTTAACAATAACTCCTCCCATTCATAGCTCCACTCACACATACCCTTAGACCTATCAGTGAACAGGATATTCAGGATCACCACATATGGGCATACTGCATGACTCCTTTTAAGGAAAAAGGAATGTGACTACAGTTGATGCACATGCTCAGTACACTGATGACAGTCTCTTAGCTACATGTAACTAACAGATACTACAAACACCTGTACTTGCAAATGACACATGGAGATTTCAGGCCTATTACATTTTGAACCATGTTGAAATCCCATCACAATTCCAGAGATGTAACTCCACCTCTTGCAGTGTCATTGGGGCATTTTTAGCAAGGCAAGAACTTCATTTCTCATTAATTTCTCACTCTGAATTTATGGTGGTATCAATTACCAAATAGCAACTGCAGGCAAAATGGCTTATTTCAAAATAAACCCAGAGTGAGTGAGGCTTAGGCATTTCTAAGATGGGGAGGTGTGTCTTTGTGAAATTCAAAACATGATAAATATATTGGAAATTCCTCTTTTGTCACATTTACTTTTTTTGCTCCACAGTTTGTGTCTACTGAAACATTTCATGGATGTCAGTATACAGGATAGAGCCAGATAAAAGGGGAACTGTGAATTTGCAGGATTTTTAACATTATGTTTACTTATCCCTATATTTAACACGTATGTATTTAATAACTAAAAAAAAATCACACTTTTTTTTTAATCCTAGAACCGGTCTCCTCCACGTTTTCTCCTGGCTTACCTCTTAACGCCATTACGGCTTAAGCCCCTGGGGAGGTCCAATTTACTTACCTCCGACGCGATCCTCTTTGGGAGGGCTGCCTGATCGCCCAGGCAGCCCTCCCCTGGCGAATGAGGCCCCATGGATCTGCCAGCAGGGGGACTGTCTGAAATATCAGACAGTCCCCCTGCTGGTGGGAAATTAAAAAAATAAAATAATTAAACATGTGTAATATATATATATATATATAAAAAACATCATACGTTGTGTATTTTAATACTAATATTAGTATATATATTAATATTAAAATACACTTAGAATGACATATATATATATATATATATATATACGTATAATTACAATAATAAATAAAATAAATAAATAAAATATTGAAACAAAATTTAATATAAATTATATATTCATATGCAATTTCATTCTAACTGTATTTTGTTATTAATATATATATTGGTAACAAAATACACTTAGAACAACATTCTATATATATCTATCTATATATAAAATACAAATAACCACAAATATATATATATATAGATAAATACATATAATAACATAAAAGATTACATTAGTATACACGTAGAATTTAAATACCTATAAATGCATATATATTAAAATTCTACGTGTATATTTAAGTAATCTTGTGACTAAGTGGCTACTAAAAAAGACTAAACATACCCCACTTTCAATACCTTGGGTTGTCTTCTTTTTCAAATCGTATGCCATTATGGGGGTAATTCTCATTCCTGGGCTATCACACCGTCTCAAAGGTAACATTACTAATCTGGCAAATTTCAATGTGAAAATGGAACGTTCTATATTTGACCCTGTAACTTTCCAAAACATCATAAAACCTGTTAATGGGGGGTACTGTTGTACTCGTGAGACATTGCTGATTACAAATATGTGCATTTTTTGCAGTAAAACCTAACAGTATTATGACATTAACAGCTAAAATGTGAGACGGCAATACAAATTAAAAAAACAAATCTTATTTTCTCAATTTTTTTTAAATTTTATTCATAATAAATTAGGTTCCATATATGAATAGTTAATGATAAATTAAAGCCCTGTTTCTCCTGAACAAAATGATATATAATAAGTGTGAGGGCACTTAATGTGACAGCGGTGAATTACGGTTGGACAGACATATAGCGCAAATTCCAGTTTTTGTTTACGTTTTGTTTTGATCAGAACGTGCACTATTGACTCCGTCCTGAAGGGGTTAATCATTGCTATAAGCTCTGTCCAGTCAGCATAGGGAAAGCAAACAGAGAAGAACACAATGGGGGATTTATTATTATAATTTTATTATTTATATATCGTCGGCATATTCAATAGCTCTGTACAATGGATAAAAGTATACTGTTTTAAAAAGTGGTCTAAACTACTTAACCTCTTAAGACCGGAGGGCGTACTATTATGCCCTATTTTAGGCGGCTCTAAACGCCGCCGGGCGTAATAGTACGCCCTCTGGTCTTTTTATACTTACCCGGTCGCCAGCGATCCCACAGAGGCGATCACGGTTGGGGGGGCTCCCAGGGAGGCCACCGCGGCATGTCCAACCCCCTGGCAGCCCCCCCGGCCATGTGAGAGTGAGGTCCTTGCGAGGACCTCACAATCACATGGCTGGGATAGCTGCCTCCTGCATTGCCAGCAGGGGGGCTGCCTGTAATGACAGGTGGTCGCCCTGCTGGCTGGAAATAAAATAAGTTAAAAAGGTGTAAAAAAAAAATAATATACTTAGATCATATATATGTATGATCTAAGTATATACATATACATACACACACATATACTGTCTAGGTGTATTTTACTATTAATATATATATATAATTATATATATATATTAATATCAATATTACACGTAGACTGATACTGATTAAATATATATATAATTATTGTTATATATATATTTATATATAATATAAAAAAATTAAATCTGTAAATATGTTAAAAAATAAAATTAAAAAAATAATTAAAAAAAATAATTAAAAAATATATAGATGTGTTTTATTTCGTTCTAACTGTATTGTGATATTAATATATATATATTTATATCAAAATACACGTAGAACAAAATAATATATATATCTATATACATAAATATATACGTATATATCACTATATATATACCTATATATAAATAAAAATATTTTTTTAAAAACATATATATATTCACATACGTATATATATATATACATATATTAATTCTACAGATATATTTATATAATATTTTTACATAATTAGGTATCTTAATTAATTACAATTAGCGGGACCTGCCTTACAACCTATGCCGAAAGTAAAGTAAATTTAATTTGCTAGCACTATATTTAACACTATAACTTTCCAAGACACCATAAAACCTGTACATGGGGGGTACTGTTCTACTCGGGAGACTTCACTGAACACAAATATTAGTGTTTCAAAAAAGTAAAATGTATTACAACTATGATATCGCCAGTAAAAGTGAAATTTTTTGCATTTTTCATGCACAAACAGCACTTACACGGATGATATTATTGCTGCGATACTTTTTACTGTTTTCAAACACAAATATTTGTGTTCAGCGAAGTCTCCCGAGTACAACAGTACCCCTCATGTACAGGTTTTATGATGTTTTCAAAAGTTACAGCTTCAAATATAAGGCTTGTGTTTCATTTTTTTCACATTAAAATTCGCCAGATTGGTTGCGTTGCCTTTGGTAGCCCAAGAATGAAAATCACCCCTATGATGGCATACCATTTGCAATAGTAGACAACCCAAGGTATTGCAAACGAGGTATGTCCAGTCTTTTTTAGTAGCCACTTAGTCACAAACACTGGCCAAAATTGGCGTTTTTTGCTTTTTTCACACAAACAAATACTAACGCTAACTTTGGCCAGTGTTTGTGACGAAATGGCTACTAAAAAAGACTGGACATACCCCATTTGCAATATCTTGGGTTGTCTACAATTGCAAATGATATGCCATTATGGGTGTAAATTTCTTTCCTGGGCTACTATAAAGTCCCAAAGGCAACGTAACCAATCTGGCGGATTTCAATTTCAAATGTAACGTGCTATATTTGACCCTGTAACTTCCCAAAACGCCATAAAACCTGTACATAGGGGGTACTGTCTTACATGTGAGACCTTGCTGAATACAAATATGTGTATTTTATTGCAGTAAAAGCAAACAGTATTATGACATTGACCGTTAAAATGTCATGTAGAACAAAAATAAATAAAAAATAAATCTTATTTTCTCCCATTTTTTCATATTAAATTATGTTTCATAGCTAAATATTTGATATTAAATGAAAGCCCTGTTTCCCCTGAATAAAATGATATATAATAAGGATGGGTGTATTTAATATGAAAGAGGTGAATTACGGTTGGACAGACATATAGCGCAAATGCCAGGTTTTGTTTACATTTTGTTTTGTTCACAACGTGTACATTTGGCTCCGTCCTTAAGGGGTTAAAGTGGGGTAATCACCATGGATGCCAAGCATATTCTATTCTTGCTCCATATTTTAGAACAGAACACTTTGGTAAACCTCCCAAAAAGGTTTCTATTCTCCTCTTTAACTTATGCTGTTTGAACTAAATTTAAAAGAAAACAGAACATTGCATGATAAAAGGTTATTTACAATATAAGTGTGACTTTTTATTCAATTATGTAAATATTGGAAAAGTGATAGTTTCCCTTTAAAGAAGTCTTAGTGATCTCTGATTTCCAATTGAAGGGAATCTGGTTATCAACATAGAAACATAAACAATAATGTAGTTTAAGATAAGCTATATAAGAATAAGTTATATATGTATATACACAGACATAACACCAAGGTAATAAAAAGCTTGTTTAATACACAACAAAGCATCAAATCTGAGGCTTAATTTAACACCAAATACCTGTGACAATGCTTACCTCTGCAAGCTTAAATTGTTCTGCCTCAATTTGAAAAGGTGTTTCAATTTTCCTGCCTCGTGGTTGTATGATAGGAGATGCATTGATTTCTGCTTCATCATTTTCTTCTGAAACTGGTCTAAGGGACCCAAAAGGAATTATCAGCAATAACAGTAGAATTCGTGAATGCTGCATAACTTGTCTTATGGCTAGACCCTTCCTTATGCTCTCTGAACTAAAGTATTGATTGCAGTGGCCAAAATTCCTTGTCGACCTGGCTAAACATTAAACCTGTTCAAACATGTTTTATTTATTCAGATGTATTTGACAAAAGAAAAACAAATGTTAACATTTTGAATGTTGTACATCATAGTGAAGAATGTTACCAGTTGATGAACATTATTTTTAGTGGTATAAAACATACTAAAAAGTTATTAAAATTAAGAGAACACTTCAATCATCATAATCACTAAAGAGCACTGTAGTGAATATGGTAACAGGAGTGCCCTCGTGGTAACAAGACCATTGAAAGGGCATAGGTAATAAAGTGCAGTGTATATATGGGTACAAGAAAAATGTTATTGGCTAGAGTCACTGCTGTGATATATCAGAAAGCGTGTGTGACAGACTGGGGATGTGTTACACGAATGTAATATGTTCGGCAGTTTTAAAGTTATGTATTTTTATGTGTTTTGTGACTTGTATTTAAAATGGCGATTTGCCTCTGCTCTGGGAGATAATTGAATTACTTCTGAATTATCTCCCGAGCAGAGGGGAGGAAACTGTGATGTGTGCTGGGAATATTGTGGGATTGTATGTCTGAAATGTCCCCATGTCCATCTGCTATTCCAGTCTCCCATTTGGTCCCCTAGGGGAGTGTCCACCAAGTGGGAGACCTGCATAAATATGGGCAAGTGGCCCACAGTAAACTCAGTTCGTGTTTTACCCTCAAAGCGGAGCTTGGTCTCGTTATTGGGGGGATTTTATTACCGGCGACTAGAGACTGCTCATTAGAATTATTGGCCGCTTGGAAGATATTGGCGTTCGGCTGATATTGGCAGTTCGTGTATTTGGGGCTCGTGAAGGGAAGGAGCCGTACGGGTACCGTTCGGGAGTTTGGAGTGTTCCCTGGCTGACGGTTTGCATGCTTGTATTGTGTACGCTACCAGACAACATTATTGCGAACGGGGAGCATTCACTAAACGGCGGTTTGTACATTTGTTACTGAAGGTACCGTAAAAGCGTGCAAGGGACATTCCTGAAATTTTATAGCTGAAGGTGTAATCTGAGAATGACGCACATGAGCATCAGAAGAATAGGACAAAAAGTAGCAGTGTCTTGTGTCAAAATTGCCACTAGTATGATGCACGGCATCAATTGAGAGTGCAGCACTACCAGGTAACCTGACAGCTGCTTTGTGGGAAAAAATAACACTTGTCTAAAATTGTTGTCATTTTTTTTGTTGTTATAACAAAATTAAAGAGATTTGAAAAAGAAGAAAATCATAGCATTAATTTGAAAGTAAAAAAAAAAATCAAAAATCAAATGCACCACCATTACTTGGTGCATTACAAGATATGTTTTAGCAAAAAAGTACCTCATGGTCAGTTGACACATTATTATTGCACCTCACACTTAGAGGGGCATTCAGGCATTCCTGTCATCTCCCTGCTTGAATTTGTACAAAAACCTAGATTATTTTTCAAATATGCTCTTGGAAATGGAGAATTTTAGGAACATGAACAGCTACTGAGAATCTACACAGAAACATAATATGGTGCATGTAAATACATTTGAATTTACACAGACATTATTATTATTATTTTATTATTTATAAAGCACCAGCAAATTCTGTAGCGCTGCACAACAGACATAGCTAGAAATTAATATATCTAAGAATCAACTTTTAATGCTTTACACAGCACAAAATACCTATATCAAAAAAGGAAACATTCTTTAAAATTATTTTTTATAAACAGATTTCTCTTTTTTTTTTCTGCTGTGATTGAAAAATAAGATGTGCATTCATTTCTGGTCATAAAAGTAGGATTTCTGATTTCTGTCTCATGGTTAGACACTTTCTAATGGTCATTGGACTTATGTTCTGATTGTAATGATAACAAAGTATTTGTCCAACTAGCTATACATTAAACCTGTTCAAACAAGTTTTATGTAGCCTTAGTTATTTCACAAAAGAAAAATAAGAGTTAAAACGTTTCTGTCACATCTTAGAATTTTACAAAGATACAATATTTATAAAATACTCATGTTGACTGCACTGAAATACCATTCATATTAGAATGCAATAAAAATAGATATTTTTTAAAGTAAGGACTTCTTAGTTTTATTGGCTAGGCTGTCGCTGATATAGATAAAAGGCACAGACAGTTGGTGAAAAATGTATTGTCTCAAACATTGTGTAGATGGTTCTATGCAGAAATCCTCAGCACTGAGGGATCTTTCATAAACCTTTGTGCCTGTGCATATGCGAGAGATTAAAGGACCACTATAGTGCCAGGAAGACATACTCGTTTTCCTGGCACTATAGTGCCCTGAAGGTGCCCCCACCCTCAGGGTCCCACTCCCGTGGCACTGAAGTGGGAGGAAGGTAATCCCTTATCTTTTTTCCAGCGCCTGGCTCCCTCGGCGCTGGGACCCTCCTCCCTCTTCTGATGTCATCGGCTGAATGTGCATGCGCGGCAAGAGCACATTAAGCCAGTCTCATAGGAAAGCATTATCAATGCATTCCTATAGACGATGGCGTCTTCTCACTGTGAAAATCACAGTGAGAAGCGCGGAAGCACCTCTAGCGGCTGTCAATGAGACAGCCACTAGAGGCTGGATTAACCCATAGGTAAACATAGCAGTTTCTCTGAAACTGCTATGTTTACTGCAAAAAGGGTTAAACCTAGCTGGACCTGGCACCCAGACCACTTCATTAAGCTGAAGTGGTCTGGGTGCCTATAGTGGTCCTTTAAAGGTTTCTCATGCATGAAGCTCATGGAGCTGAAGAAGTCAATTGCATTGACGATGAGGGCATCTGCAAGGTTTAGCTTCAGGAAAATGTATTTCCACTTTGCTACTTCCCTGGATCAATGCACGTTAAGCATACATATAACATGTGGAGGATAGATCCTTAATTAACAGATCTGCTTTAATGCATTTAGTGCCCATTATTCACTCATAATAACATATGAAATAATAACATATGCTCGCTGCCTAGGTGTTCTCTTTGACTCCGACCTCTCCTTCAAACCTCATGTTCAGTCTATCACCAAATCCTGTCATTTCCATCTCAAAAACATTGCGACTAAGGTGTTGGTCCATTCCACTGTCCTCTCTCGCCTTGACTACTGTAATCCACTTCTCAGTGGTCTTACATGCTCCGAACTTGCGCCATTACAGTCCATAATGAATTCCTGTCCACCCGCACCGCCCACACCTCACCCTTCTGTCAGACCCTACATTGGCTTCCTATAAGATATAGAGCTCAATTTAAAATTCTGACTCTTCCTTTCAAATCTCTACATAATGCTGCTCCCACCTATCTATCCTTTTTTGTTAGCATCATTAGGGCATCATTAGCCAGCCCTGGGTTGGCTAATGTTAAATCTGTCCATATTTTCATACACAGAAGATCATTCATTGGCTGAGAGTACTCAGCTGACACTCTCAGACAATAAATGGCCAGCAGGGTTGTGATCTGTATTCCTCAACTCTGTTGCTCTGAATTCTTCCATACAATCCTCCATGGTCCCATAGGGTTTCATAGATACATTCTTCTCCTAAATCTAAACAAACAATTACTTCCACATAGATGCCTAATGCCACTCGTGCCAGCCTAACATGTTTACAATAGAGCTAATCATTAGAATAACATTACATTCTACTATTGTTTCATTTATGTCCATTTTTTCTTTTATTGTCTGGATCTATAATTGTAATTTATTGGAATTGTGGCGGCCACCCCGAGAGAAGAGGGGTTTCCCACCGCCAGATATGTCCTTTCCCCACCAGTATGAGTAATGCTGTAGTATTCCCAAGCAGTAATCCAAGCGGTAATGTTCCCTACAATCACGAGATGAGGCTCTGTGTTGAGGGTGAAGTTGAACTGTTTTAATGGGAGCCACAACTGGCCTTATATGCAAGTCCCCATGCAAGGGGTTTCTTATTACATATTCCAGGGGCAATCTCCAATGGACCTGAGAAGGGACTACAGTAAGAGTACACACATAATTACAATAACTCTCAGGTCCAGGACATACATAACCAAAAACACCCCAAAATACACATTTAACACCCTCAATTCCTATATCCCTGGATAGCCTGGATCTGAGTGCCCAACATATCCAGAAAGCACTCAGATCCCACGAACGCAGCTGAAATGTCACTGGGGTATAGTTCAGACCGAGGCGCCTGCCCAAAAGAGTTCCATGAATTCAGGCAGAGCGGTCGGTCTCTTTTGGGAGTACAAAACACAGTTAAATACTGAAGGTAACCGTTCGTGTGTAAGTTAGTCGTGCACCCCTCGTTCGGGATTTTGTTCCCACCGAATGCCACACTTCTCAGTCAAATGGAACCAAACAGTGTTCCTCCCAGGACTCACTGTAGATGGCAATGTCATCCAGGAATGCACAGGCGAAATCCTGGAAGCCATCAACAGCCTATCCACCAAGCGCTGAAATGTGGCCGGGGCATTCTTCATCCCGAATGACATGACCTTAAGCCAAATGGGGTGATGACGGCCGACTTGGGCATAGCCTCCTTGGCCAGGGGAATCTGCCAGTAACCCTTGCAGAGATTGATGGTGGTCAGATAACGCCCCCTGGCTATGCGATCTAATAGTTCATCTACCCGAAGCATCGGGTAAGCATCTGTCACAGTCCGGTCGTTCAGGCGCCGGTAGTCCTCGCAGAACGGTGACACTTAATCCTGGGCAGAGCAGGTTGAGACATAGGTGGTCCCTGGTAATGTGTGGGACCTGAGGGTACAAGAGCTCAGAACTCTGGGTGAGGAGGGGGTCTCACTGTGGTCTGTTCCATCTGCCTGGCGTCAGTGTACTTGTCGGCCAGGCGGCAGCTTCAGGCAAAATGAGTGGTCATCGGTCACAGATCCATTCTCGCAATTCTGGCTGAAGAGAATTTTTAAAATGCTCTAGAAGGAATAACTGTAGCACATCCTCTCCTGATACTGCTTGGCATCCGGCGACCCAGTGGGATTCTGTACGGTGGAGGCGACATGCCAACTTGGTGTAAGAGTCC